TTTATCCCGACAACCTACCTTTGCACTTCGAGTGATTGATTTCAGCGGTTTTGACGAAGGTGAGTTTTTGGCAGGGCTTTGTTTTATAAATTCTCACCTAGTTTTCGACATCAATACTTTTTTCAGGTTAGTTCTTTAGTTCAAGTGACAATGATCGATGTGAGGTTGAATTTATGTTATTCCTGTATCGAGTTACTACACCTAGTAATAGATGGATAATATTGTTATATTGGGTTGAGTTATATTACCAAAACATCAAGCCAACTCACATGACTAAGGTAATTTGGCCTAAACTCACGCACCCCAGACTGGGTGCTTATTACTGGAATTCTTGCTCAGTTCCATTTAACCAGCCTATGAACACCTCCAGGTGAAGCTGAAGAATTTCACTGAGCGTATTACTCTGGCATTTGTGTACGGAAATTTTTTTCTCATAATTTCCTACAAATTCTGGGCGTCACCTCAAGCACGACCTCCTAATTTTGATGTGTGTAGAAAACCACAAGTTGCCAATAAAAGCTACTATTAACTTTCAGTACGCCTACACGCGGTGCTGTCAAGAAAAATTCGCAAATGCTTCTTACTAGTCACGAGTGAGCTATTCTTACATTTGCTTTCTTAAGCGAATAATTTTGTCTGGTCTTAATTTTTGCTATTTTGACATCTGGTAGCATGTGACGTTGGTTCGGATACTGACACTCTTTGAAACTCATCCAAAGCATCCAGATATTTCAGATGAGGAAACAACGAGTCCTGTGTCCGTCACCTGGCTTCTGGAACACTCACCAACACACTGCAATCAGCTGAACATGAGTCACTGGGTTGACGTCCTCTACTTTCTAGTTGACACTTTAATTACCAAATTCGCTTGTTCATGAACCATCCACGGTCTTTAGGAGGTCAGATTAACACTAGATCCTATACTTTCAAAGTCACTGACTTGCAAAATTTATACCTATGCTTTTCACATAACAGATTACAGTCTTCATCCTGCGTTTATACTGAAGCCAATTTGGTAACTGTTTTTCTTCGAAAAGGTAAAATTATTGTTTTTTTGCGACCCGTAAAAGTTCTGATGTTATGTATTGTATTGCATTCCTCGTATAACTGACTATGTCCGACAATGTTACAATTCACACTTAAAAAAATGCGAAAAAATATTTTGTAATTTGCCATAAAAATTCATGATTTATTACCAGTGAAGATCGAATTTCCGTTTTTCATCACCTGTTTTAAGATGCTTACCGAAGAATGTCAGTAATAGCATCCCTTGTACTTGCAGCCATCGGTGACTACACATAGCTCTCACTATTTTCGGCTTTATCCAGTCATGATTGAACGTGAAGTGGACTGACCATCAATTATTTATGAAATACCTAAAGGAAGAATCATGCTTTTGTCTGTACTGATGCTATATGACCCTTCGTTTAATTGTGAAATGTTAGTCAACCTGATATTTCAGCTATTTTAGCTCATGGAACACTTTTAGCCTGATTGTAAACTACCAGCCTGTTGCCGCAGACCCTCGCTTCATAAAGGGCTCGAACAAACCAGCCCGTTGCATGTCAAGTTCACCCTCATATAACATCTCCAGTGATTTTAGTGGTTCTTTTGTGCTGTTGTCACCTGTGCTTTCACGCTGCTTGATTCCTTTCGCTGACTCAAAATCGTCTGAATGTGATGTCAGCAGTCCAGGTATGGCTTCCAGTATCATTTATGATCTGGATCTTCAAAGACAGAAATGTAATTTGGAGTTTTCAGATGATGGCTAAGTGTTTCAAGGAAGGCTTAAGTAATTGTCCTGGATACATTGCCCGTGAAGAGATATGAAAGCATTTGTTGTGAATTGCGTTGATTCAGAGTCGTTAATCCGGTCACTCCAGCCTCCAGCATAATGTCTCCCTTTTCACAATATATCGTCAGCTGCGTGGATTCTCAACTCCTCCCTCATTAGCGCGAACCATTATCCTGGTTTATCCTGAAACCTAAGTATCGATGTTAGCACATTTATGACTTGCACTGTTTCGCACACCTAAACAATAAATATGAGAGCGCAAACGGCTCCCATAACACAGTTGCACCAACTTGGTTGAGCTCTAAAGTAAACGGTTGTACTCACATCCTGTCTGGTCTTCTTCACCATCGTGTGTAGCAGGACAGCGGAATCGGCCCAGATTCAAATCAGTGGTCCAGGCGTGGGGCCCACAACAAATTCTCGTGCAAAGCAAATATGGCGTATTATAGAAAGCATTCCTTCATGTCATCATTGCCTTTGCTCATTAACTAATGACTCTTGTAGGCTAAAAAGTTGACGTTTGTCTTGAATATAATTCGGCTTACAGCTTTAATACGTGTCTGTCAAAACTAAAGCATCAGGACTGATCTATTTTCCATAGACTGCAGCTGAAAAGGCAAATTTTTGAATAAGTGTGAGTCGCGTCTTTGATTAATAATCCATTTCTGGTCATAGCTCCATAAAAATTTTTTAATCATAAATGTTTTTATTGGCTTTATTACCATTCAAATTTGAATAAGCATTTTGTTTTGCAAACCAGAGTTAACTGCACCAATACTTCGTCTTCATT